AAAAAAAAAAAAAAAAAAAAAAGAAACTGCAATTGTTTCTTTGGCACTCGTGAAGAATTAAGCAGGCCTGAGTCTGTTACTGAGTGTGAGAGAAATGGCAGGAGTATGAAGCTGACACCCTGGATGTACAGAACTGTCCTTGGGAGAGGCCAGGTAGGGATGGCAGGATGGAGGTGACAGCAGCCAGAAACTGCATCTGTGGACTCCATCTGACCTCTTTCCTCTATTCAGGGCCTTTGCACAGGCTGCATGCCCAGCTGGCAACTCTCTGCCCAACTTCTGCCACTTGTGCCTCAACGTAGATGTTCCCTTTCTGATTTTAGGGGGCATTATTGTCCCTTTCCCCACACTCATCCTCCTCAAGGTATTCTTCAGTTGTCTCACAATATCCACTATGATTTCTCAGCATTTTACTTATTTATCTGCCCACTTGTCATGGTGAGCTGTTTGGGTGTGACAGCTACACCAACTTTATCTTCTAATGTACCCCTGACACTGACCACCAACTCACCAACTGACCACCAGCACATATTCAGAGCTCAACAATTTCTATGGAATCCATCCTGACTTGAACAGGCTCACTGACATATATGCAGACACTTGGGACACTACCGAGATGACTTTACTGCCTTATCTACTAGGCTTCTAGAGTTGCTTTGCACTGGCCCTGAGGCTTAATAAGTAAGCTGCAGCTTGAGGTCCCTGTCTGTGGGTTCTTGTCTTCACTTTCAAACCCTCATCCTCAGCTGCGCTGTCCTCTCACCAGTATAGATGCCTGGCTTTGCAGATCATTGCTTCTACATGAAGTAGGTGTTACCAAAGAGCTAAGTATATAACACCCAAGGACAGTCGCAGGCAGGGTCAGGCAGACACCAGATGGCTGGGGTGATGGGGAAATTTAGGGGCCATGCAGTGGCTGCAGTGGCCCCACTGACTCCCCTGTTCACCCTGGCCTCTATGATCTGATCTCCACTCGGCCAGCCAGGACAAGAGTCAGCCCTCGTCACTCTGCTGCTTAGCAGAGCTGTGGCCCCCAGCCACTGAGAGTGGGAGCCGGGGGCCTTTTGAGGCCCACTCAAACCCCAGCCACCTCTCTGATGCATCTCCTGTGCCCTTGCAGTGACACCCTTTGTGCCCCTCAGTCTGCCAGGTAGGCTACCACTGTGGAGCCTCTGCCAAGAGCCCTGGCTCCCAGGTGGATGCCTGGCTGGCTCTTTCATATTTTTCTAAGTTTAGTTCACATGTCACCTTCTCTGTGGACCCTATTTTATTGTTTTAGACAAGGTCTTCCTAAGTTGGCCAGGTTGGGCTCAAGCTTGTGAGCCTCCTGCCTCCGTTTCCCAGAGTGCTGAGATTATAGGTATATGTCACCATGCTGGGCTCCTATTATTAAAATTTTCACTGTGCCATAATTATAGATTCACATGCAGTTGTAAGAATAAAGAAAAGTTCCAGGTACCCTTTACCCAGTTCTTCCTACAGCAACATCTTGTAAATCTACATCAGTAACACAAGCAGGATATTGATGAGTATGCAGTTAAGACACTGAGCATCTCCATCACTTATGGACCCAGTCATGCTGCCCTTTTATAGCCACAGACACTTCCCTCCCCCTCATTTCCTCTAAAACCCTTACTAAACTCTCAGCTGTTCTCCATTCTTTGATTTTGTCATCTCAAAAATGTTATATAAATGGAGCCATGCAATATGTAACTTTGGGGGATTGACTTTTTCCCCCACAGGATAATCCTCGGATGATTTGTTAGGTGGTCACAAGCATCGGTAGTCTGTCCCTTTGCATGGCTGCATACTATCCCATGATATGGGTGTACTACAGTGCGTTTACCCATTCTCTGATTGAAGGACCGCTAGAGTGCTTTCAGTTTAGGGTTATTACACATGGAGCTGCTATGAGAACTCGTGTGTAGCTTTATGTGTGAGCACATGCTTTCATTTCTCTTGTATAAATGCCTGAGAGTACAATTTCAGGGTCGCACCTTCACTTTTTAAGGAAACACCGCCATTTTGAACTGCAACCTCCCGACCCTTGATCTCACCCCAAACATCGGATGCTTTTCATCCTGCTTACCTTTTAGGAACAATCCTCCATCAGGGATCGCTGGGACACAGAGGCCAACATGCCCACAAATAGGATGACGTGGTTATGAGGACAGGACAGAGCCCAAACATGAATTCCCTGGATGAAGCCGTCCACTGGGTTTACAAGAAAATCAGAGAGTTCAGAAGCCAAATCGGTGTTATCCCCATGTAAAACTATGCAAGGAGGTTTTAACGCGAAGCTCTCCAGATTTATGAGCTGACCAAGCAGAGCTGTGGTCCAAACAGACCCCGCCTTCCCCAGTGGAGTGTCCGGGCACCAGCCAGGCCCTGTGGAGGGAGTCTTCTTGCAAATGAGCCCAAAGGACTCTAGTTAGAAATATTCATAGAGCCCCAGAGACAGGGAAATCAAGACAGGACTATATTTCGTGCTGAAAAGGGAAAACCAAATAAACAAAGCTCACTGTCATGGCAACTGGCCAGCTCAACTGTGCAAGTGAATGGCAAAAACATTCCTGGGCTCCTGGAAGAAATCCAGAACCTTATGTACTTAGTCTGTCTGTGGGGAGGTGCTTATTATTATTATTACCATAAATTCATTTATTTCCTAACATATTGATTTTTTTCATTTTGAGCATTTGTTTGACATTTGTACAGATTGGGTGACTTCTGGAAGAAATGATTAAGCAATATTGTAAAATAATGCTTTGACCTAACTTAAAATGGAAACAATTATAGCATTCTCAGTAACGCCAGATGATGTCAGCCTGACCATTGTGCTGCTTTTTCATAAACACGCTGGGCTGATAAAAACTTCACAAACAATCTGAAATGAGCCAGGCTCTAAGAGGCTTTCTCTGCATGTGCATTCTTCTCTGCCATTCGGCCCCAGCAGTAAGGCCTGTGGGCACTGATCTATATGGTGAACATGATGGTTCTCAGTGTTGGGTGTTTACTCCTCTCATCAACCAAACAAGAAGCCATAGACTGATAAGATGGCTTAGGTGCCACTGTGTACAAGTGTCTGTGTCCCCTCCCAGCCCAGAGCTGTGGTATTTGAAGGCCTCTGTGCTTTCATTGCTGTATCTCTCGTCCCCATGATTTTTCCCTACCTATTTTTCTTACCCACTTATTCTTCCTTTTGTTTTCTGCTTTCTTCTTCCCACCTTAAGCCAAACCAGTTAAGCCAACAACAAAAATCAAGGCCTCAGCCCCAAAGCATCAGCAGTTATAACGAAAAAGATCCTCAGGCCTGGGCAACTGGAAGGCTGGGTCTAGGACAAGGTGCAGTTCTCTAATCCAGCCCCTACCCAGAGCCACTCCAAACCAAGTACAAGCTGGACCCATCTCTGAGGACCCTGAGCTTCCTCAGCACCCTGGGGCATCATGGGAACTGTGGGGACAATCACAGTGTCCTGGGGTGGTGGATGATCATTTGAGGAAGAGGGTTTCATTGCAGGCTTCAGTGCAAGACTTGAGGAAGATTATTGACATGTGGGATAAAGTGGAATCAATTCCACGGAACCTTCAAAAACCAAACTATCAATACTACATAGAAGACAATGGTCATGGGTGGGAAGAAAGTCAGGTACAGGCCTGCTGCTCTGGGTCAACGAATAGCAATGGATGCCATTGTCTTCAGAACCCTTTAAGAGAAGCCAGAGGCTGGATTCATGAGCCAGACTATACTGAACCCATTTCATGATGGCTCTGGTATTAGTCTGCTTGGTCTGCCTTTGCAGAATATCATACTGACTATCTTAAACAACTGAAATTTACGTTTTCTTACTTTTGGAGGCCTAAATGTCCAAATGAAAGTTTTGGACCAGTTACTTTCTGGTGAGGATTCTCTTCCTGTCTTGTAGACAGTTATTTGCTTTCTACCACCTCACATAGGTTTTCCTTAAATTCTGCCCATAGGGGTGAGGGGAGACCTAGTGTCTCTTCTTATAAGGACACAACTATGGTTTGGATGTGGTTTGAGCTTGTGCTCAGTGTGGCCATACTGTGTGGTGGAACCTTTAAAGAGAGGGACCTAGTGGGAGACAGGTTACTGGAGGCACTGCCTTTGGAAGGAATGTTTATATTCTTAGTCGGTCATTGCAAAAGATCAGGACTAGCCCACCCACTATCTAGCTCACTATGCAACCTCTCCCTCTGGCAACACTTCCTCTATGATGCCATCTGCCATCTGCCATCTGCCATAATGTGACATACCTGAGAGGGCCCTCACAAGGCAAAATTGATGGAGTTGCCTAATCTTGAATTTCCAGTCACCAAGATTGAGTTAAATAAATCTTTTTCTCTGTAAAGTACTAGACTCAACTATTTTTAATAGTAATAGGAAACAGACTAATATACACACTAATTCTATCAGATCAGCGCCCCACCCTTATGACTTTACTAAATCTTAATTATCTCCTTGTATGTCCTATTTCTAAATACAGTCACACGGGGGGTTAAGGCTTCAGCATATAAATCTGAGAGGGACATGATTTTGAGTGGACACAAAGCTATAGCAGGAGATGGTGTTTCACTTTTGCACCTGGAAGAAGGCCAGGAATTTTCCAGGCATAAATTTGGTCAAAGTCTGCTCATGAAGAATATTGGGTTGGGGCTGGGGATTTAGCTCAGCGGCAAAGCGCCTGCCTGGCAAGCGCAAGGTCGTGAGTTCGGTTCCCGGTACCGGAGAAAAACCAAAAAAAAAAAAAAAAAAAAAAAAAGAATATTGGGTGATGGCCTACCACAAATTTAAATGGCTTAAAACAAAACAAATGTATTATCTTACGGTTGTCTAGAGGTTAAAGTCTGAAATGGCTCTCACTGGGTTAAAATCAAGGTGTGGGAAGGGCTGCTTTTCTTCTGGAGGTGCTAAAAGAAGAACACATTCTTGTCTTTTCTATCCTTTAGAAAGGTCACATGCATTCCTTGGCCCATGGTCTCTTCCTCCCTCTGTGGACCCAGTAATGTAAGTAGGTGTCATTTCTCTCTGTCTCTGTCTCTGTCTCTGTCTCTCTGTCTCTCTGTCTCTCTCTGTCTCTCTCTGTCTCTCTCTCTCTCTCTCTCTCTCTCTCACACACACACACACACACACACACACACACACACCTCTGCTTTCAAGATCACGTCTTTCACTCTAATTCTTCTGCCACCCTCTTATAACAACATGGATGATGACTTGAGGTCTAGTTGAATAATCCAAGATAATCCCTTTATCTCAAGAAACTTAACCACATCTGCAACAAAAGTTTTTCCATGTAAATAACATATTTGCAGGTTCCAGGGATTAAGATCCCCATCAAAGATTGGGATGGTCATTATTCAGCCTATCACACAGAGAAAGGTGACAGTGCCCAATCACGCACAATGCTTAAATAATCTTCCCAGAGGGAGCACACTTCATGGGCAAGGTAAGGGGAGAATGGGTGGAAAGAGAAAAAGTTGGGAGGAATAGATTATATTTTTAAGACCCATGGATGTTTTGCACTAGCTTTTCCCACAGAAGATAGGGATTGGATAGTTGAAAGAAAGTAAGCTCAAAGGGTTAGCTTATTTATGTGACTCCAGTGATGACAGTTAGGTTTATTGTGGTCAGTAGCTATGATTGCATTGGGTTTTCGGCTCATGGGAAGGAACAAGAACCATATTGCAAACAGCTACACAGGGAGAGGAAGTTTTAAGTAGGCTAAAGGTGATAGGGTACAACTAGGTTTAAATAACTTAGGTAGCACCTAAAAATGGATGCTAAGGTAGCAACTCTATGAAACCAGTTTATGACATCTTGAAAAACACAGATTACCAAAATTGATACAGGAAGAAGTAGATAATCTGAAGATGTCAATATTTATTTTTTAAAAATGGTGCAGTTGTGGGCAAAGAAAACTTCAGTCACAGATGTTTTTCTGATAAATTCTATCAAACTTGAAATGAAGAAATAAACTGTTCCAGAGACTAGAGGAGACTATTTCTCAATTTTAAAATTTTTGGTCAGTACATTTGTGTTATGGTTTGGATATGTGTCTTCCAAAGACCCATGTGTTAGAGGGTTGGTGTTATGGTTGATACATTGTGTCAACTTGGGGAGTCTAGAGGTTTGGCTAAGTGACTCAGCAGGAAGCCAGGGTGCTTACTTTGTATACATCCTGAGCC